ACAGCTACAAGCTTTATATGGCTTCTCAAATGAGATTGATAGGGTGATAAATTTACTCTCATAATGCTGTGTAGGCTGAGACAGCTGCGTTTGGAGCCCATCTGTGGGTTCCTGAAGGCATGACATGGCATAATCATAGAGCAAATATAATCATAAGCCCAACAGAAAAGGGCCTGGAGGTGCTGGTGACAGCAGCTGAACATGAGCCAGCTGTGCCCAGGTTACCACGAAGGCCAGTGGCATCCTCACCTCTATCAGCAATAGTGTGGCCAGCAGGACCAGGGCAGTGATTGTCCCCTGTGCTCAGCGCTGGTGAGACCACAGTTTGAATCCTGTGTCCAGTTCTGGGCCCCTCACTACAAGAAGGACATTGAGGGGCTGGAGTGTTGAGGATTTCCCATGTGTGGAGACACGAGGCTTGACTCTATTTTCTTAGAAGGCTGATACATTATATTATGATATATATATTAAAGTACTACATAAAAAACTATACTAAAAGAACAGAGAGAAAAAGATGATCAGAAGGCTTGAAAGAAGAAGAATAGAATAGAATGAATAACAAAATCTTGTGACTGCTCACAGCCTCGACACAGGTGGCTGTGATTGGTCATCAATTGAAAACAATCTACATGAACTAATGGAAGATGCACCTGTTGCATTCCACAGCAGCAGACAGTTATTGTTTACATTTCTTTCCTGAGGCCCTCAGCTCCTCAGGAGAGGAAAATCCTAACAAAGAATTTTTCATAAAATATCATAGTGACACTGGAGCGAGTCCACAGAAGGGCAAAGGAGCTGATGAAGGTCTACAGTGTAAGACATGGGAGTGGCTGAGGAAGCCAGGGTAGTTTAGCCTGGACAAAAGGAGACTCCAGTACCCTAAATTAAGCATATGAAACTCAATGGATTTTTCTATCACTTGTGATAGTAATATTTTTATCCTTCATATCTTGGCTCCTGCTAGAGCCCTTTCCCTTTCCAATGTCAAATATAATCATCATCACTGAACACTAAAGCAAATTGTTCTTTCCATTTAAAAGCCATACCCAGCTACATTTGTTTCTACTCTGTCTTGTCTGCATAGCAGTTACAACCTTTCATTACTGGCTTTCTTCTCTGTTTACTTCAATATTTAAAAAATTATATCTATATATATACACACATATATACACAAACACACATCTATATAAATGCATATAATGTATATTTAAAAGGAGAAGAACACATGTGTTTTTAAAAGAGAAGCTTAAATTTTGGAAATTTTTCAAATTTTACTATATCCATACCTATTTTATTATGAACATGCATGTTAAAAAAAAGCATATTTTCAACAGCTACTGATAAGACTAAGCAAACAAGTTTCTGTCAATATCCATGCCCAAACAATGAAATAACTAACATAAATTATGAAAACAAAAATAGTAACTATTTCTATTTGTAAAAAAAAGGGCACTGAAAGTAACTAGAATCTGACATCATTAAAACAGCATAGGAAGGGAGATGGGTGTTTTTACTCTGCTGCATCTTCTATTTTTTGATGAGGTTTTGTTTATTATTTGATTTCTGGCTAAAAATAGATGACAGAGGCATGGTGATTTTGTCACTCTCAACATGCTCAGATGACTAACAAGTTAAGGTCAAAATGTGATGCGTTCTCTGGCTCCAGGCTTTCAAAAAATATAATATTCTGACCTATTAGTAAACCATCCCTTAAATGTCAAAAAGGTATCTCTTACAAACCATTCAGCTCTGAATGAACCAGACCTCCTGTGCAAGATGGGAATATTTTTAATTCTTAGTCGAGGCAAAGTAGAATCCAACTATCTTGCATGGTTCCTTGCCACCTGATCAATTTTCGTCTCATTATTCCCAGCATCAGCTTGCAGGATTAACTGATTGTGGTGTGTGAGGCATGACACAGAAGCAAAGAACAACTTTTAAATTTGATCTTGCAGTTATCTCCAGAGGACAACAACAAATTAATTCATCCCCTTATTAAGGATGTTATTAAGGGCAAAGTAATTTGCATTTAACTACTGTCTATCTATTGTGTGCATGGGTATTGCCTATTAGTACACCATATTTTAATGCACTATTGGCCTAAAACCAGTGTTTGGGGAATACATTGGCAGTTTAGTTTTCCTAACTGTGTTCCTGTGAGAAACAGTAGTGAGAGAAACAAGAAGATTAAATTATTAAGATATAATTCATTTTCCTGATTCTCAAACATGCTTCTTTTATGCTACTTATCCCAACTAATGAATGTCATCTTTAATTAGTTTTTGGGATTTGACACAAAAGCTTTCAAAAGGATTGTATAACAGCACTGCCTGAAAGCAAAACCTTTCTAGCTATTATTTGAAAAGGCAAGAAAGGAGAAAGATGTGACCCAAATGGTTGGACACATAGGAATTAATTATATTAGTACTCAACTCAAGTTTATTTTTAAACAACACATTTTTAATAGTAAATATTAGGGGATCTTCCCTGTATGAAGACCTCAAAATCTGACTATAGAACTAAGAGTGTCTGAGGCAAGGTTTAGATATGTGGAGCTAATGTGAATCTGACTTTATCTTTTTGTCTTCCTGCTAATAATATATTAAACTAAAATCCCAAGAAGTACTATGATATTCGTGGGTATCAAATTCTTAGACCAAATTTTATATTTATGCTTCATTCAGAGTAATCAAGGTTGTCATTTTTCCATTTTTTTCAATCCAGTAGTCAATCATTTTACATATACAAGGCTATGAATAGGTTTCCAGCATATCTTATTTTGGAGAAAAGAGAAAAAAAGTCAGAGGTTCACTAATTGACCACAAATACATATTCCAACATGAAAAACATAGGATGATATACTTTAATTAATGATCTAATGTATATTCCATTATCTTTCATCCCTGTATACAATAATTCTCATAGTCTAATATATTTGCACCAATGCACTGCAATTTGCTGTCAGATTGCATTCAATTGTGTCCACTCTAAAAAATTAATAATGTTTATTCAGCAAACTTTCTACACTCTCATTGCTTACCATTAAGTTGAACCATCCAAAGACACGGAGATGCAGCACTTTGGAAAAATACTCTAGGTGATTTCAGGACTGCCATTATTTGACACCTTGGGTAAGTCTATCTAAAACATTAAAAAGTAAGAGGACCCAGACCAGCCCACTGAAATGTCCTAATAGTAATTGTCATCATTTTTAAATTGCTAAATTGACTTGAGAGTTTTATAAAAGGATACAATGGAATCCAGCTAATATACAGGAGCACATGTGTACAAAAACTTGCAGAACATAATATGGACTAAATATATTAAGAACAAATCACTTACAAGTAAGCTAAAGTTACCTGACCCAACTCCAAGGGTGTCTGTTTCTTCAATTTTTTTAATAAAAGGAATGGGTTAAAATAATTATTAATGAGAGGGCAGAAAGTGGATTGCCAAATGCTTACTAATTTAAGTCCACCTTGGAAACTGAACTGTTACTGAAGTAACAGTAGAGTTGAAATCATTAAGCAACAATAGGAATCATGGCAATGGATAAAGACAAAAGACTGTAAGGGTGACTGTCCCATGTGTGAATTTCAGAAGCAAAGTGAGGTGATTTTAACCTAATTTAAATTAATCCCGAAGACACAGGATTATCTGTTTTACCACACATTTTCACTCTGTTAATATTATTTGATGATTGGAAAGAAGTAGAGAAAGCAATGTAGGGAAAATATTCTTTTGAGTGGGACAAGTTCCAGCCTATTACCCAAATTACTGGTGCCTTGAAAAAAGAAAAGCTTGTTATGTTCCTTTGATTTTTCTGAACTTCCTCTGATTAGAGATCATATCACCTTGGTGACTGTCACTAATAAATGCCTTTACAATTCTTTTCCACAAAGGACTGATAGGGGTCATGGAAAGGGACAGAGATTTTTAAGATAGAAATCCAGTGAGCGGGATCCTCTGGAAGACCCCAAAGCCATACATTACTTTAAAATGTTTGGTGTAAATAATCAAGCACAACAATTTACTTCACACATTCCACGTACAATGGTCAAACTTGTCCACATGGACAGCTTCCTGCAAATGATTTCTGCAACACTGTTATTGGTCAATGCCTTTGCAAATGTAAGGCTGAGTATTTAACCATGCTTTTCTGCAGCAATTAATTAGAAACACTTCTGGGCAGGTGAAGAGGTAGTTATATAAGGTTCAAAAATCACAGTAGAATTGAGTCAAAGCCTATACTCTCTCTCACCAGTTCTGCTGGGAGGAACACAAAGAAGGACCTTTGATTTTCTGTAATTCTCATTATGAATCACATCCATATAAATCACAGACTAGTACTTAGCAGTGCACATACATGCACTTCAAAAAAAGATTTCACTTTAAACTTTTCCAAGTTTTCTTTTCTACAGATTCCTTAGGAAATTTTAAATTTAATCTTTTGCTATCTACTGATTCCTCATCTTCTTTGACTATATACAGAAAAAAATTACATTTTGAAATGCAGCTTCACTTGGTAATGAATTTCTGAAAAGTGTGTGTGTTAGCATTAAAAAGCCCAACAACCCAGAAACACTGCTCAATGGAAAAATCTGGGACTGTTTACTTTAGCTTGACCTATATATTCTGTAACAGCTCTGTAACAGTTTGATAAAAAAATCAAACTGGTCTGATGCTATTGAGCAATACTACACACATTGGACTCTACAAACACCTGAATATTCCACACTCTAGGGAAAATATATTTTTAAGAACTCCACTATGGGAGGCAGATCATATATAAAAAGCACTGTATTTTACATTTCATGCAATAGGAGTTGATGGGGTTTTTTTGACTAGCTACTACAAACTGAAGTATATAAGTGGTTTTGTATCTATGAGTCATTAAATAGGCAGTATATATATGACTATACAGATATAGTTATTTTAATCCAGACTTAATTTTTTTTGAGAATACTTGATTTTAAAGCAACTTTTTGAACAACACCTACTTGAGGTCTTGGGAAGGTTCTGCTCTGATATGGGGTGTCTCCACAGAGTGCCCAAACACTGCCCCTTCCGTGCCTAAAATACATAAATAAAATACAGTAAAATTACTTTGGAAAATAAAAGCACATTGAAATATATGACCACAAATTGACACTATTAGGAAAAAATATCTGATCAAATCCTTTATTAATAATTTAAAATGTTTCTTCATATTTACATTTTCATTTCTATATCAAAATCTGGACCAACATCCTGTGAAGCTCTGGATTTCTGCTTTTTCACACACAAATCTGGATCACTTACAGATACAAATTTTTCAGAAACCATTTGGCTGAATGCTTATCGCCATATTTTGGAGAAGAGTTATTTTACAGAGAATGGAAATAATATAAAAAAATTTGTGTGGCAAAAAACACAGTAGAGAAATATCTGCTGCATTTTACATTCTGGTTATTTTGATTACTTAATTGAGACACCAAGGTTTTAGAAGTTTTGAGACAACTTTTCTTGCCTGGATTTGGTGGCTTAATCTAGATATCTGACAGTTTCAGAGTTTCTTTCCATCAGATCTTTCTCACTGAAAGATTTTATTCTCATGGAATGCGCTTTGGGTTGCCTTAGAAGTGGACGCTAAGGTTTTTCCTACTGGGCATTTAAAATCCAGACAGAGAAAAGACGTAACAATTTTTCAAATGTGAATTGCTTCTCGATTGAATTTTGATTTATATTACTAGGTCCAAGTTGAATATGGTAATTCCACAGTTTTCACTAGACAAGCAAGATTTTTCATTGAGAAACTCCTCTTCAATTAAAAAAATAGAACTCTAGAAAACATTCACTAAAGTTGTTTGAAAAAAAGACAATTCTTCAATAAATTTTAAATGTATTTCTTGAAAGAAAATGATGGGGGGAAACAAAAGACAAAAAATAATAAGGATCTTTGTTCTTTGTTAAAGTAATAGAAAACTCAAGAAATTTATATGTAGGGAACAACACTATAAAATCAGCACTTCTCTTACCTCTCCCCTCTAAGGACTGAACACATAAAGTTTATTTATACCACTCACTTTACATTTAATAGCTATGCTCTTTACTATTTGAAATTTGCCTCCTTTTTTTCACTCACTGACAATCATCATGCCTATCCTTGTTTACTGTTTCATCCAATGCCATTGTTTTTGTAATCCACTTACACAAATTTTGCTTTCCTTCTCTGAAGATGGTTTACTGGGCATTGTGTAAGGCAAATAGCCTAGAACTAGGGAGTGAAAATCTTTCCAACAGAGAACCTCCAGCAAAGGTGAAAGAACTCAAAAAAAAAAGTGTAAAACGGGTAATGCATTTATCTTCTATCAAAATAAGATCAAGGAAAATGTCTGGGATAACTATGGCTCATTACTAAATATTTTTGAATTAATTGCTATATTTCAACAGTAGAAGGTTTCTTTTGTTCCAGGACTTGAATTCTGAGTAGATCTAAAAATACACCTACAATATCTCACAGTAGGTCTGCAAGAAATGCTCTAGCCACCACTCTTAATTGCTACAGTATTTTAAATACAAGAAGTAGTTTCGATTTTTAAAATATTAAAATATTTAGCAAACTTTTTCAGAAACTCTGGATGTCAAATAAGATCGCTATTAGATACTTTTACAGTTAAGCAATGATATTAAAAACATTACCGGGGTTTAAAAGCAGAATGAGGCAATAATGTCAAATTGGTATTATTTTTTAGAGTTAAGGGGAAAATAGCCTGAGCAAGAGGCAAAAACCTCCAAGCTAAGCAAACTTCAACCTGGTAATAATATTCTAAACTCCACCTTCATTAAAATAAAACAAAAAACAAAAAAAAACCAAAAAAAACCAAAAAACAAAAAAAAAAAAACAAACAAAAAAAAAAACCCAAAAACTAACTCCTCCCAACCCCCAAAACCTTAATTGGAAAGTGACCTGTTAGTATAGAGTATTGAAGAGAGGAAGAGAAGAGTAATGAATTAAAATCCTAGTTGTTATCTCCAAGAATCTATAATCTTTACAGATATTCTGGCAAAGAACACTGAAAACAACTTTATTACAAAGGCTGCTTTGAAGATATCAACAAAAAAAAACCTGAACAAAATCCATTTTCTATAACCAAGCTTTGCTGAGTGTTATGGAAAACCACAGGAGGCAAAAACCCAACATTTATTTTTTTCTTAGTATTATTCCTAAATGTGCTGTCCAGAATCTGTTTTTTTTAAATCTGGCAATGACTTGAGGTCCTCTTTCCTTTAAAAGACCAGAATATCATGTCTGTATAGCCAGACCTTCTGCCACTCAAAATAAAGCTCATCCCCATGATGAACCTCTCTGGGAGCTGAATATCCAAAATCTGAGTGTTTCCAGATCCCATTCACGATTTTCATCAGCAAAATGAAATGCCTTCAGCGCCAAGGGCCCTCTATATTTTTGAAGGTGGCAATGGGATACGAAGATGTAAATAAGTGAGCAGAATGCAGAGGTGCCAGTCTTTACTTATGAGAAGACCATGCCTGTAATATTTGAAAGAACATTATCAATGCAAAGTCATTGCATGAAAAAGAATTTGAAAGAACATTATCAGTGCAAAATCACTCTAGTATGAGTCTGACATCACATTAATCAGAAGTGCCAAAGGTAATATCAGACAAAGACTGATAATAAAAGTTAAATGACAGCTGGTTATAACCCAGCTTTAGTATCTCCTCACTTTCAGCATCATTATTTTAAATAACAAGAAGGCATTTTTTCCCTGAGAAAATAGAAATCTGAAAGAAAGACCAAGTTTTTCAAGCACACCAGAAATCCAGGCAGGTAGAAGTAAAGATAAACCGATATAATTAAATAAAATATAGTTAAAATTAAACCCAAACCAAATATGCTCCTTTTGGTATTTGAAAATGCCATCTTAATGTTTTTTTTCTTCTATAACAGTTCCTGTAGTAAATGCTTTATTCTTAAAAAAATACTTTCAACAGTTCAAGAATATCTCCAATTCCCTTTATTACACAGTGGGATAAAAGCAGACACTTTCAATTACCTTGGTTTTAGTAAGAAAGGTGAAAAAGATCAGCCAGAATTTATTGATGTTTCCTGCAGTTAAACAGCAGGGTCAAGAAAAAAGAAGATTATCAGCATTACTAAAAATACAGAAGAAAAACTATATTATCCTTTTTTTTCAATTTATTATACGCAAATCTGTAGTAATTTGATGGGAAGTTGGATGATGTAGTTCAGTATTCTTAAGAAATGCTACTATACATGTACCTTCTAATGATATAACTAAATAAATAGAACTATAAAAGCAAATTCAAAGTCCATAGCATTATTTTCTAAATGAAAGAAATATACTTTAGGTATTTGATAAATTACAATGTTAAAATACTTATTTTTTACAGAAATAAGAGGACGTTCTAATAACTGCATTCCCAGACTTACAGAATCATAGCTAAGACCTACTTTGTGATGAGTGAAATTATAGTGAGAGATGAATGAATACAAAAAAGGTACAAAAAGAAAAGGCTTGAACCTTAAAGCCCTTTCAAGTACAGCTCAAAAGGAAGTAGTTAGGGAACTGAATTCAATGGAACATGGGTTAGAATGGATAACTATAAAAAGTTATCTTTTTAGAGGAAATAAAATCACAAGGCCATGGAGTAGGTGCAAAGGATCTAAAATCAAAACTATAAGTGTAACTGAACAAAATTACCCACACCTTCAGCTTCCAGTTGAAGAGAATGAGTTAAGTAGAGACTTCACTAAGAAAGAAGCATCTGTGCAGCCAAATTACTGATCAAAGAATGGCAGCTGTTATAGAGGTTGCAGGAGAAAATTCAGTAAACACAAGCCAAGTAAGAGGCCAAAAAGTTCCATTCTGTATTTATAGAGAAACCTTTTTATGCACAGCTTTTTAAACAGATTTATAAACACCAGACCTTTAAGGAACTTCTTTGACACAGAGCAAATCAAAACTACCCTTTTGGTACAAGCAAAAACAGTCACACATTCCTGCTGAAACGGAACATTCAGAATTCAGAAAAACCAGTATAGACTACTAATTTCTGCTCAGCTTACTGGTTTCTGAAATTCAGCCTCTGGGAAATGACAAGTGTAATTAAAAAAATGGAAGTGCAACATTGGCATTTGGTTCTGGATTGCATTTGCTTATGCATGTGCATGCTGAGGAAGTTTTTTTCATTTATTCAACCAGCAAATAATCCTTTCATACTTTCTGAGTAGTTAGCTTACATAACAAAATGGTACATTTCAGTGGCTTTGTAATTAACTAGGATGAAAAGACTGAGCTGGGGTTTTTTTTTCAGTTTTGGGTTAGTTTTATGGGGGGCTTGTAGGAGAATGGGTTTTTTGTTTTTTGGTTGTTTGGGTTTTTTTTTGGTTGGTTCTGTTTTGTCTTGTGAAAAGAAGGCTGGCTGAAGAGTTGATAAGGCAAAAACTAAAAACTAATGAAGTATTTTGCTGTGGAAAATGACCCACATATTACCATTACCCCACTCCTTCACATCATTCATGCAAGCAAATCACCTGACAATGAATAATTTTGAATCATTTTCATGTATAGAAATCATTTTGATGTGTAGAAAGTGCATGCCATTGCAGCATCACAGACAGAGCTAAGTTTTACCACCTTGATTTTTCACTAGGTTTTTCAGAAACATCAAGTAACAATTGCTGAGATTATTATTATATTATGCAAGTACTAGAGTGAGATGCCAATTTGTCTGCTGAGTTACAGACTTTAAAAAGGGTTTGTAAAATATTTATTATTTTTGAAGCTTGCAATTTGATTTGTTGCACATTATTTAGTTAAGTTAAAGCATTGGCAGATTTCACAAAGATGGAGAGATAATCAAAATTTTTTTACCATTGAAGAAACCTTAAAAACACAGACTATGTGTTTTAAGTTTGGAACTTTTATGTTCTAAAAATTTAATTGCAATAAAAAATAAAATCTTAATTCTTTTACCATGTGTACATAGATAAAATTTAAAAGGTTTTTAATGAACTTTGAAAGCTGTTGTTCAACAATAAGACCTTG